GAGCCCTCATTTGGCTTCTTCGGTTCCTCTCTATGACTTTCCTATCGCATCTGGACGAAGTGCCTGGAACGTTCTCCATCGTCTCACTAGAATCTATAATTTACCCCTCCTACCTGCAAATTACAATATGGCTGGCTATAAAGGGTGAGACTTGAGAGAAGACTAATGCTGTTCCATAGATAAGGAGAGAGAGGAAGCGAGTGGTTAATAATGGGAATAAATTATGGGGGTGGGGTGCCTCTAAATAAAGGGAAAGTTTTGGATCATTATATATTTGGCTGCGAGGCTCTGATCGATCTTTCATAAAAAAGCATTCAGATATTTGAGAGACGTGGTGGGGCTCCTTTCGTCTTGGACCTATCTCCGTCCCGTATGAACATCTTTCACAGTGTCTCTTCAATAATTAATAACCTAACAAACTCAGCCCGTCATAGTACATATGCGCGTGAGGTCTTTGTACCATCGATCCGGATCAAACATATATTCAAAAAGATTTAAGTATGCTAGTAGAGTATCAATTTTTTTTTTTAAGTTGCCTTTGTGACATTGCATGGCATATGGGCTTTAACATATAAAGCAACAAAACAATACGTGTATGTTCTCAACGTGTGAGCATGTCCGCATCATCTCACAGGTGGCCAAAAAAACAAATTCCAAAAAAAAAAAAGGAACAACCATGTGAGATACGTGGATGTGAATTTGATGTTATACTTTGGTGCTATGAGGAGGAAATCTCCAGAGATAGATGATTAGGATTTGTTTGGGGGGACAGGTATGGAAAGTTGACACGTTTTGGTTTTCACACCTTTATTACAGTAGTAGTGGTCCATTGTATTCAGATGAAGACATAAATAAAAGGGGGCCCTCCTTCCCGGGAACAGATTCAGTATTATTAGGGTTTTTATATTATACTTTAGAAGCTTCAAATTTGAGAAGGGTATCATCTAGTATTTTATAAGTTTTTAATTTGAGTTTGTCTTAATATTTAGGGAAAATCCCTAAAAAATAACTATTGAATTTTAAAATTCAAAATAAAAAATTACTTCAAAAATGTGTTGTCATTTGTTTTTCGAGTGTAGTTATTTTCTTTACAAGCATAATAACCAATGCTGATTTAGAATTTTAAAATTCAACAATTATTTTTTTGGAATTTTCTCTAATATTCAATATACATTTTTGTTAATGTTATCTTTAATTATTTCTCTTTTACCATATTTTCCTATATATTCTCTTTCATCGTTTTACTCATTTAGTATAAAGACATATTTAAAAATAAAAATCTATTTTTAACTTATTTATTATTTTTAATTAATTTTAACTAACTCTCTGTTATCTATAAATTAGTTCTTTAAAACCCACAATAAGGACGGGAGAGAGTATATGTAAAGAGGATGAATGATGAATAAAGGGTCAACATGACGACCATTTATATCGCGTACTATTTAGATTCAGACACCCGGTGGGGTAGGTAATTAGCGATGTAATGGGCATTCGAATTGATGGATGACTTTTGTCAATTATATATTTGAAACATTATACAATTTTTTTTACCTTTTTAATAAAATGTGTTTTTTGTTACATTTTTAATTAAATGAATGAATAAAATGATTACATATGCTATTAATTTAACCTCGTCAACAAGACAGGTGGGCAAAGGACAAAACATGGGGCCGGGTATGATTTCACACATATTCTAATCACGTGGTGAATTAATTATTCATTAATTCAAAGTCTACCCAATTACTCTTCTAGTCTTATTTTATAGGCGACTTTTAATATGTTTTACATAAATTAAGAAAAATTTTAAATTTTATGAACTCTCATTTTAAATTTAATAACTTTTTAATTTTTTTCCTATTTAATATATATTACACCTCATATAAACAAAGTTAACATGATAATATATAAGGGATAAAATTATATATCCACACAAATTTTTTTTTTCAGTATCCTAAAAATAGAAGGAAAAAAATGTCTTCTCCTTTGCCTTATAAATAGAATAAGAGGAGCAGTTACTTGGGGGGCAAATTAATTAACCACAATAGTAATTCAGACCCGTGGGGGTGGTTCTATAATTAATTTAAGTCACGTGTCATAAGAACACGCGGGAAAATGAAATGAGTGGCTGAGGTTCGCATCTCTTGTTAGGTCTGAACTGAAATGAAATGTCGAGGTGGCTACATGTTTCTCCTCATTTGCCAAATTGTCATTTTCATTAATTGTTTTCTATTGCTTTTAAAATGTTGATTTCACTCAAACTAGCCTAATTCAAAGACGGTACTTATTGAATATAAAGACGTACACTCACTTTACTATATCTTTGATATCTTAAAGGGAGCTCCCGTTAAAAATATATATATATATACACACAGAAATTATTCATTATTCTGTAAATTTTGCAAGCGCAACATATCAATACCTTAATTCAAATCATTCTTATGAATAAAAATTTTTTTATGGGAGACCTTTTTTTGTATTTTAAATTAAGTTCAATAAAACATCAGCTGAATTTTTTCGGGGGCATATTTGATAGTAAGTTTAATCAAGTCGAAGTTAAAATTTTGAATATACTATAACTTATGTAATGTTTTGATTTTAGTTCAATAAGCTCAAAAATTAAGTTTTTCTAAATCCAGATTAAAAAAAAATTCAACAAACCGTACTATTCATAAGTAGAAAAAACAAAAACAGACATGCATGGAGTCCATTGCTTCTATCCACACACAGACACAATCAATTTCAACATATATGCCAAACGGGTAGTAGTGTGAACAGTAAACCCCCTTATTTTACCAGGTGTGAACTCACAAGTGTCGTGCACCTTTAGTTCACTTTTCTCTAATTGCAACTTCTTTTTGTTTGTGTGTGCATGCAAAAGAAGATGAATGTGCTTAATAATATATAAACTACTCGGACTAGCTATTTAACTAATCTATAGTATGGAAATCAAAGCCACATGGGGCGATCCTAGATATATGTATGGTGAAGGTAGTTAAGAGTTCAAACCTCCTGTGCCATAATCCAAAAATAAACAAACAAATTAAACATGCAGGCATGAGTTCAAACCTCCAATAACTTTGCTCATATTTATCTGGCTCCAATTACTAGATCTATCCCTCAAACATACATGAAAATTCCAGGCAACTCAGGCACACTTACACACGGATTCGGGGTGCCCTTCTGCTTGCCCTTAAGCACATAAAAAGTGACATTTTAATATTTCATGAATTAAAAATGGTGTAATTTTTATTTTTTTTAGAACATTTGCATCTGAATCAAAAAGAAATTACATCAATTTTAGAGCATTTTTTCCTTTAACAAATCATTTTAAAAAAACTGAGGGAGGCTTATGCTAGGCGAAGTGCGCGCGCTCTCTTGAACCTTGAATTAGTAAATTTGAATGAGTAACGGATTGTTCCAGTTAATGAGTGGGGACAACCGGCAGCATCATCTGAGTCTCAGAAGATATAATGGTGAGGTTGCCATCGAAACTAAATTAAAACAGCATTTTCTCTCTCTCATTTATTGCAAGTGCTCTGTAACTCTCCCCCACCTGTTTCTCCAATCGCTTTCATCTGCTTCGCTTCCTCCAGATTCATTCGTCATCCCCGTTTCTCTACCGGCGACCTCAAGCTTGGGAGAAACCAACAAATTAAAGAGCGTACAAGAGAAATAGAGAGAGCAGATATGCCATGCGGGAGAGAGGCGAGAAGAAGTAGGGACTAGGTAGAGGAAGAAACAAGGGTGAGCTTCGATTTCAAGTTTTGAAACTTGAAAAAATGGTGGCAAATAAGACATTAAAACTAGTGAAGCTCCATAAAACTGACCAGGATTAAAGAGCACGCAACCATATGTGCGAGCCATCTTGCACGTAACCTAAAAACCAAGTCATTACTCTGATGTGCAATTTATTCACCGCAACTCACATGTTGAAATTAAAACTTGATGATATATTGATGATAAGAAAGCTCCTTTATTAGTTTATTTAACGTGCAAAAACCAACGGGTAGCAGAAATAAACTAGGAAGTACTGCAACCACCAACTCCTAGAGGATAGCTTACAGTGCAGCTTCTAACCCTTAGAAAACAGCTCTCATGGCAGATATTCCACCAACTCCTATTGATTTGATCAAATTAATATAAATCCGCTACAAATTAAAGTAAGGGGGAAAAGTACACATCCCAATTGACTCAGTCAAACAAATAAAAAATGAATGGGTAGCTTAACTTGTAGGGGGGCTGTGTGCTTATCTAGGGCTTTTTTGGATTGTTCATCAATAAGCACGGTGCCTAAGCCAAGACAAAAACTCTTATCATATACTTACTTTATATTTTGTAAATTATGATTAAAAAACTATTTATAAACTATTTTAAATAAGCTCTTACTAAGTCATCATCTCAAGCTTGGCTTTGAGGATGCAACAATATTGAAAACTAAGTACTAGAGCATTGCTATTCTTATATATGGAATGGTTTGACCAGCCCCATGCCTTCCAATTTTGTGAGTGGGTTTTGGCTCCTAGAATCAGTGAGATGTGCCGGCCATTACTTTTGGATCGATCAATTGAAGTTCTTGTTTATGATATGAACACTGGACAGAGAGTTGAGTTTAGTTGTAACATCACAACTTTTCTTTGTTGGCGTGGGGATATTATATTCTTTTGTACTGATTTATGATATAAGTAAAGAACCAGACACGAACATGTTTATTTAATTCAATAATAACATCTGGAACACGAATAATTACTCATGTAGCATCACAATTTTCAACTCTTTGAAACAAGAAGCCACAAGGCAATCACAAGGGAGCAAATATCAGTTGGTGTCATGTAAATTTTGCTTTGCATTTTGTCTATAACAATGGAAGCACACAATCCTAAGATCGATCAGATGGGTTCGCATATTTTTCTATTCTATCACAAATTAAACTAAGCATAAGTTATTATTCGCATTCTGATTATCACTAAAACTCCACAGAAAGAAGCCGTTGGTCATCCTCTTCAAAATGCGCCAGAACCATACGCAAACCTCTTTAATCTCTCTGATATCCTTTCAGCTCTATTACCACATTCTCCAATCTGAATAACATTGATACAAAACCAGATCAGCTCTACGAAGATTCATAGCCGTAAATGTTCGTCGATTATGATTAAAGAAAATTTTACAGAGTTTGGTCCCTCAATTAGTTTGGTTTCTTTAATTAGGAATTAGCTTCAATTAGCCACTGAACTAGTTGGTATATGTTTTAGTTCTGAAACATGATAGTTTTATATGCATATTAACCCGTTTTATCAAGCAGCCCGTGTCACTTTTGAAAAAAATTAGGGCTTCAAGCTAAAATCTAAAGACTTCGAATAGTCTAATCAGAACAATAAATGCTCAGTTTAGAGGACGTTCCATAAACTGCTCACCTGACAGTGTATGGTATGAAAAACAGTATCTTGAACTACTGAATAACTCGCATTGACCACATCGGCTTGTTCTTCGTGAAGAATGCGAACGAACTCGTTGAAAATGAACTGGCAATCCAAGCCAGTAATCACACAAACCTCTAATGCTGATCCCATTTGGTGAATCTCAACTTTGGGCGATTTCGAACCCATAATCATTCCTCCATCGTTATTACTTAGGTTCCCACTAAAATTTGGCTCGTTGTTGATTCCCATTAGGCTGAGCTTCCTCTCTTGCATCTTCTCCAACTTTATCTGAAGCTTCTTTATGTAGGTCGTGGCTTCACCCAGCTGATCTGACAACGAAATCACCTCCTGCACCACCAGATTTAAACGCACAATACACATACACGAATAACAAAAAAATTGAGGGGTTAAGTAAACGAAGAAGTACCGCAGAGGATTGACGAGGGACGAGAGAGCTGAGCTGGGAGCAAAGAGCCCTCATTTGGCTTCTTCGGTTCCTCTCGATGACTTTTCTGTCACCTCCGGATGAAGAAGCTGGAATGTTGTCCATAATCTGGAGACTGTAGGGTGTTGCAGTATGGGTAGATAGGTCAAGAGCTCAAGATGAATGCTGTTTCATGAGTAATTAAGAAGCTTGAGAGTGTGTAAGCGATTGGGCAATTGGAAGAAATCAGGGGTATGGATTTGTGACTTTAAATAAAGCAAAACTGTATCAGTTTCATTGGTTTAGATGCCTCTCTCTCTCTCTCTCTCAATTTATACTCTATTTCTTTTTGTTAAAATAAAACTAGATAACTAATTTATAAATACTAAAAAAATTAGTTAAATAAATTATTTAAAATAAATATATGATGATTTTTTTAAATAATATTTTTAATAATGTGTATTGTAAACAAAGAACAAAAAAAGAGACCGGATACTAAATCGGTTGAGATAGTGATTCAAAAGTCAGTTGGTCATATTTTGATCAAATCAAGATCAAATTGGTTATATTAAAATAATATAATTTCATTAAAAATAACAAAATATAACAGCACTAATAATCACTAATAACAAAATAAAAGGAAATATAACAATAGTTTGATTGTAACAGTAACAAAATACAACAACGTTAAGAATTTTGATTTTTAAGGTTTATCAATAACTAAAATTAATAATCATTGATATCAAAATTATCATTAAAATTCATTCAAATCTATAGTGACTGAGATATTAAGAGTTGAATGAGAAAAATAAAACTAATAACAACATAATCGTCCAAACCGGTTCATCACTAGTTTACACTGATTTTTGCCAATTTTCACCTGTTTACACCAATTTGACTAGTTCAATACCGGTTTAACAACAGAACCAAACCGGACCACTGGCCGGTCCATCAATTTTTTGGTTGAACCAGCTAGTTCAGTTTGGTTTTTTTTTGCTCTGATTATAAACACTTCTTGATAGAAAGTCTCTTAATACAAGTAATCGATAAAAATATTTTTAAAAAATTGTAAATTGGAAAGATAATAAATCGATATCTTATATTTAGAATCAAAATAAAATTTATATGTAGCTTCTACATTTAAGATGGAAGGCAGTACAAACAAAAGAGTTATTTTTTTGCAAGCTGAATTTGTTTTTCCGGTGACATATAAACTGAAAATTGCAAGGCAAAGAAAAAACCTTTTCCCCCCGGCCGTTTTATGTGGGGGTGTGTGTCGTCCCTTGTATAATGATTTTACTATCAAATCAAAATAGCATGATATCCCGTGTGGGATGCGCGTTTGCATGCGCGGTGTGGTCTCTTTTTGGGCTGAGAAGAAATGTTAATGTGGTGTGTTTAATTGAAGTACCTACTATATGAGAAGTGAGAAGGACTTTATTTGTTGTGGGAAACTCTGACGAAGTGTTCCTTTTCACACCTGTAACAATCAATGTGAATGGTGCAATCTGTCAGACATCCACGTTAAGGGAGTGTTTGGGGTCCATTAAAGACACCTTAAAAAAGAAAGTATATTTGCCTAAGTAGGGACATAACTTGATTTACATATTGATTCTTCGTGAGAGGAACTAGTTCTTTGTGTTAGATTAAATCATTATCGGTGAGACTCAGACTTATTTTTGAAGTGCTGATCTTCTTACTAGCATCCCAGGTGAAGTGTCGTGTTTTGTTTAAACGTTGTTGAGTTTTTCTATGTGTTAATATGTGGTTATGTTTTTCATTTTTTAGACTTTAGACTAGTGGGTGGTCTTATACATGGTACTACTTTTCATCTTTAATATAATATCTTGTTTAACTCTCAATTTAATCTTAAATATAAGACCATAATATACTGGGTCTCTCATATTTATTCATTTTTTTAAAGTAGTCTTTACAATATATGTATATATTAAATGTTTCATCAAATCACACTTGACTAATAATGGTATTTTAAAACAACAACACTTATTACCTAATTTAACTGATTTTTTTAATCTACTCAAATTAGTCGATTAGGTCAGGAGATTGTGGCGTCTCATGGGTTTGTTAAATAATTGATGTTTATGTTGAAAAAAAGAGTTAATAGGGCAAATGCATATCAGCTTTAATCAAAAGTCAATGGTCGCCGTACGTGGCCAAAAAATACTACCAACGAGTAAATTGTGAAAATTAACGATTTTTCTACCATAATGAGATATCTATTTCATTCGCACCTGGACACACAAAGTAGTACTATCCGAAAGTAGCTCTCCAGAATAAGAATAAATGGTGACCAAAATTTGCACTTTTCCCCCATTATCTCCTATTTTATTCACAGGAATGGACCACAAGCTGCCGGCCAAATCCCAATTTCTGGGACCAGAAAAAGGGGGAGTTTAGTTTTATCTTAAATAATTATTTATAATTTGAGTCTCATATATTTTTAAAATGCATATAAAATTGAAAAAAAATGGAAAGAACAAGACAAAATCACACGGAATTTTTTAAAATAATCAAATTATTCTTGATCTAATTTATACAGATTGTAATGTTACGAGATATCTTGCCATAAATTTTTGTTTTATATGAATACCGGCTGAACTTATTTTAATCATAATTCATCTTTCAATCACCATAATGAAAATTACATTTATTTTATAATCTACAATTGCATTCAGAGTAAAATAAATATTTAATGCAAAACAATGATGTATCCGTTCCCAGAGTACATGTTCACTTTTTTTTTTTTTGTGACAATGTTCACTTTATTTTTGGAAGTTAAAGGAGTTGCCCGAGAATTAGACAACATAAACGACAAACAATATGACAAAACGACAACGCGTTCCCTGGAAAGTATTGAGATGTCCCCAAAGGCTTCGATGGAGCAGGCCAGTCCGGGTGGCCTAAGGGGGTTGCAGTCCCAATCTCCATTAATGTGCCACGTATAAATTATCCAACTGTTTTGCCCCCTCTTTTTACGTTTGTCAAAAGATGCAACCAGTTTACAACCCAACAACACTTTTTACGAACAATTATTTATCTCAATTACACATATTTGAAATGAGTTATATTATTTATATAATTTACTAATTTATTCATGACTTATAATTAATCTAATTTATCATAAATTTTTATGCAATTTGTGTTCTAAAGTTTTTTCTTTTAAGAAAATACCTTTTTAAAGATTTTTAGGTGAGTTGGATTCTATGAGTTCATCAAAACTTGACCATATTTCCTGGCTCAAAAGGCATTCAAAGAAATACCAACAAATTAATTATGTATCAATAAGGTTTCCAATATTGAAGATAGAATTTGAACTCACAACTTTATGAGTCAACTACTTATTAATTGAATATAGTTATCAGTCCACACATGACAAGTAAGGTATATGTGTATTTAACGGTTATCTTTTTTATATTTTATTGTGAATAACTGGGTACTTTTTGATGACCTGAACGTCTGATCCTAACTAAATTAGTGTGTGTTCACATCGATTTTTTTTTTTTTCCCTTGCTCAGTGGCGTCCATAATTTCATTTTTTATAAAGAAGCTTTTGGAGCGTAGCCCCACAAAGCCCTAAACTTCGAAGGATCCCATTTGTGAAGAAATCACTCATCCTGCACTTAGCACCACAAAGAGGAAAAAAAATCTTACCTTTCTCCTGTTTGTTTCTTCCCAAAAAAAAAAATTCATGTGAGGCAATAATTCCAATATGAATAAGAAAATAAGATAAATGTTTTCACTTTTTACCTCTCCCTGCAGTTTTATGCTTCCATATCACGTTGTACCTATTTTTTTTCCGGGCCAAAATATATTGGGCATGATTGCTCTTTTTAATTTTTACCCTTCCATAATTGTACTTTGGTTAATCATTTACACAATTTACTTGTAATTCATTACTATCTTTAATTATTTTTAGTTGCCTTATCAATCTAACGTGTTAATACAAGTATGCCTTTCATTTTGTATTATCCCTCAATTTATATAATAAACTTTATAACAACTTGTTCCCATTCATGAATTGTGCTGTTTATTCATCAATCATCAGACGATCGTGCTCAGTATATTATATGGCCAGGTATATATAGCTAGTTTATGCATAATCTGAAGAAACAAAGGATATACTCTATATTGGTTTGGAAAAAAAAGAAGATATATTCCATGGTGTTGAATGTAAGGGTTACTTAGCTAATTTAGATACATTAAAAAATTTAAATAAATCACTTAATACTAACAAATGAAACATGATTTTCTTGAAGTATCTACATGTAATATTAAATTAATTAAGTGTGTAAGTTAAATAAATTAATTTAGAAAAATAAAAAGGATAAAAGACAAAATGAATTAAGATCTTATATTTAGGATCATAATTGACTTTCTAACTAACACTTACATTTATGTTTGGAAAAGTAACATATATAATTACAGTGAACACAATGGGAATGAGTATGGAGAGTGAGCATAGACAATTGGCCCCTCGAACCAAACTACTGGGCTGGAATATTTGTGCATGAAGTAATATTAACATTAAGCTATATATATATATATATATATCCTACTAATTATTTAATTAAGCTGTCTTGAACACACGACTAATTAATTATTTTGATGTATGTCCCCATATCTCCAAAGTGGAAGTGAAGTTAACTTATGCATGAAAACTCGTTAGTAACTAATAATTAAGGCCTATTTGTTTATTTTCACAAAAAAGATACATTTTGTTTTTTTTTAAAAAAGAATATGTATGTCTTGTTTTGTTGAGATGGGATCAATGAAAATACACCATTTTGTTTTTTTCGCGGGATTTGAGAAACGAAAAGAGCCTTCATCCGCAAATGATTCATACAAACCGACAAATTAAATGATAGTGAAAGCATAAAAGATAAGAAATGGAAGACCAAGATGGCTTCTTCAGTCTAAACCTGCCCGTGCCTGCAAGCAGACAACTTGTTTTGCTGCTGAAGAGAACAATACTTGATTTATTGGGCAGCATTTATGCATATCAGCCACGACGCATAAGCCATAAACGATGAAGAAGGGGATGCCAAATTTTGAGGTTGCTTTCATGTGGAGCCCAAATTTGCGTGCCTACGCAATTTTGGCCTTAA